ACCCTTCTGTGATTCTATGACCTTTGACAGAATATGCTAGCCTGATGATGTAGGATCTTTTCATTACAAGCAAATCTCTTCTGCTGAATTGTGAAGCATCAGAGCTCATTAAAGCCTATGTGGGTTCTCAAGACATCTGCAGTCACTTTTTCCATTATGTAGCTCCTTCTCAGGAGACTGTAGAGAAGTGAACAAATCATGCATTGGGACTTTCCCCTCAGCAAGATATTTGGTCATTGCGACCATAGTCATAATCCTATGCACCAAGACATTTCCATTCAACTTTCAAATTAGTGGCTTTCCTCATCCCCAAATAAAGACATGGTGTGTAATTCACAGTTTGAAGTGCTGCTGTCGTGAATAAGACTGAGGATTTTATACTAACAAATGGAGGAAATCCAGATAAGCTGTAAGAACTCAAGTGAGGATGAGGCGTTACAATGAAAGAACAAACTGCATTGGTATAGTCTTTTCATTAATGAAACAACAAACAAGAAAAGGACAGAGAAAGGCTGAAACAAACAGGAGTTCAAACTCCTTAGAGAACCTGGAATGTTCAGACTACAGGTTCACATGAGGATCGGTCTCCTGAGGTCTCCAACAAGACGGTCTGCAGTAACCTCTCAGGGCAGGAGACCCCTCTGGACCCCATAGCAACCCTACGTGCCATGCCAAGATAGCCGCAAGCCTGTTTTGCAGTACCTGCTCTCTAGTAGCATGGGAGGAGCAACATAAACTTTACACATTTGCTGTACAACGCAGCTGACAGTAGTTTCCAACAGAGGTATGGCTAGCGTGATACCTACCTGCTTCGTCTTCAGCAAAGGAGATGATGAATTTGCTGTAAGAACTGATCATTCCAGGGAAAGCACAAGCTTTTGGGCTACCAATGCAGATATCTTGCTTCTTCCACTTACTTGTCTTCTCATCTTCCTGTAAAGCCATAAGTCGACTAGATGAAAAATAAAACCCTGTGTTTTATGTTTCCATTATCATGATTAGTTCCTGTCAAAATCATGCACTATTGGAAAAAAGTGTCAGTGAGGACCCTGACTGTTGACTGGCTTTAATGTCCGACTTTCGGAAAAATAGACCTGAATCAAAGCAAACCTATCCTAAGGACTCCAAATTGGAGAAGTTTAGATTCCAACCAAAATGTTGTTATAATGGTCAAACAGAGCCCTTTATCCAATACACAGACATCCAAGATTCTCATTTCCTCCAGCTCAAAGGTTTCAGGATGCTCTGATATGCTTATTCGCTCAGATAAGCTACAGAGAAAATGATTAGTCTCACCCGTTCATGAAATCACCAAAAATGTAGAGGCCGTTCAAGTTGGGCGACTCACATCCTCTATACACATAACCTCCAGTGACCGACTTCCCCACATTGCGGCCGTAAGCAAATATGGGGAGAATGTCATCTGTGAAACACAGGACCATGAGAAGCGGGAAAATTCACATCCAGAGAGCACCAAAAAGCAGTTGCTCAATGACACCGACTGGCACAAAAATTACTAGAAGGACCAGGCATAGTTCAATTTCAGTGGGAATTCAGTCATTTACTCCAGGACAGAACAGACCATATGGGCTTTAAGGAGCTCTCTGTATAGTTGCTTATCAAGGTTTAGTCCTGATGAGCTTCCTTATCACACAGGACCAAGATTCTCTGCATCACGTGAGCAATGCCAAAAGGTATCAGCCTGCATGAAATCTTATCTTACAGGTTTGATTGCAGGGATTTTCTTTACAAATTCCAGTATTTTTAGAGAAGGGAATAAGATTAAAAAATTGCAAGTTAATGTCTTCACAGGTTTGCCAACATTCTCAGCACAGAACATGCCCTAAGTGTGCTACCTCCATTTTCTGCCATGAGACTTATAAAGCCTTTGCCTCTGGCAATGTTAAAATTGAATTTAGCCCCTTCTTGGGTTCAATATCAGATTCTACAAAATTTTAGTCTTGATCCAGGGGGAAACAAGTAAGGACAAGTAGCTTCTCTTTAAGGATTAATAAGGATGAATATCACAAATGCAATTTATTAAAAAACATAGATGAACAGCAAAAATTTAATTCAGTTTTGTTGTCTATTGAGGATTGAGCCATGAAAAAGACAACCAAGCGAAAAAGCTTGAGAGCCACGTGGGTACCAGCATAGCCAAGGAGAGGTGTTGATAACCTAGACACTACACTTGCCTGCTCATACAAACGTTTCAGAAACACCTACATGAGCCTGAGACCAGGTGTTTTCTTCTACCAACTTAAGAAACATTACAAAAATACCCGGTTCTTCAAGCATGACTTCCAAAGAGCTTTACAAAGACCACTAATACCTGTGCAGCAAGCGAGTTCGTCCATCGCGCTCAGTCAGGGCACAACTTTTGGGTGTTCTGCTGCAGCACCCGATGTGCTAGGACAAACTGCCTCTTCCACAGGATTTGTTTCAGGGTCTCAGCATCAGCCTGGTCCACCCTCCTTAGCCCTGGCTCAGAGCTACTGAAGAAAACACAGTATTGCTTTTCTGCTTAAACCCAAACCATTACCTTCTTAACTTTATTGGGAAAATTCTGTCTGTCTGCAAAAGGCACAGGCCTTGACCCTAAACACCTTGTCCAGCCTAGTGTATGACAGGGAATTCCCTGAATAAGCAGGGCATCATTTTATAGCAACAATGTGGGGCTAGGGAGAAGGAATACTCTGCTCTTAAGCAGTAAAAAAAAATCTCCAACACACAACACTGGATTTTTTTTTAGCTTCACTGGAAAAAAGGAGCTATAGTCCAGTAAATACACACACATAATAAAGTAAGCTTCTGTAAGAAGTTTCTTCCTTACCCAGAGAGGAATTGTGGCAAAGCTTTCTGTCGTAGCATTCAAATCCCTCCTTCGCTCTCCAGCCATAGTTCCCTCCTTTAACAACGATGTCGATTTCCTCAAATCTGTTCTGCCCGACATCCCCGCAGAATATCCTCCCTCTTCCCTTTTTTGTGATGGGGTCGCCCCTGTCAACCGCACAGCGCCACATATTCCTGACCCCATAAGCATACACCTCAGGACGGGCCTTGGGATCAGACACGAATGGATTATCAGGAGGGATGCGGTAAGGCTTTCCATCAGGGCTTTTTCCATCCACGTCAATCCTCAAGACCTTCCCCAGCAAAGCACTCCTAAAGAGAATGACAGAAGACAAATCCCAGCATGAGAACCAAGTGAAAACAATTCTTTCCCTCTGCCCCCTTTCCAAAAGGAAAGTTCTGTCCAAAAGAGAGAAACCAACAGCTGGTATGTCTTGCAAACTGTTAAAGTCACGGACGACTTTCCTCAGCAAATTAGGTTTCAAAACATAAAATTTAAGTTTTTGAAATACTGCATTAGACAAACTTGCAGATGCACAGGCACTTTTGGGAAGCACTCATTCTTCCACACTGTCTCATTTCCAAACCCTGTGTCTTGGTGGACAAGCTCAAGGCTTTCAACTGCCCTCTTACTTACTTGTTCTGAGCATTGCCAAATTTTCCAAAAGGGTCTCCAGCTTTCCCTCCATCCCCTGTGAATAGATACATATAGCCATCCACACCAAAGAGCAGCTGCCCACCGTTATGATTTGCAGCTGGTTCTTCAAGCTCCAAAAGATTCCTTAAAAAAAAAAAAGAGAAGTAACTCCAGCTGTCGCTACTGGAAAGGACTGAGCTTTCAGGCAGGCTGCAGAAATATTGCATCGCTTCTACAGAAGAAAGAATTCCCAGCTGTACGTACCTGTCAGCTTTGCCAAATACGGTGCCGAGGTGCATCCTGCCCCCTGCGAGACTGCAGCATAAGGCTGTGGTGTGGCATTCCTCACGGAAACATGCTTCCCACGAGCCATGCAGCACCACGGCTGCCCCATACACCACGGCTCTGACTGCATTAACACCTCTCACACTCCAGAGCTCGCCCACACCACGAGCGCAGGGGTATCACAGCGCATCCGAAAACACGACTACAAATACACGATGTGTTTGTCTGCAGGGAGCACTCATTGCCCTCTAAATTCTGCGACAGGCAGGTTCTGCTTTCTTACATGAGAAGCACTTGGTGAATTTGAGGGATTAAGCAGCAAGTTATGGTGATTGTGAAACTAGAGATAATAAGTCTGCCCTTAACAAATTCTTCTCCATAACTGAGAATTAGCTTTTTTTCTTAGGAGGGGGATGGGGCAGGGGCACACGTGGCAGATGAGATAGATGCCTGTACAGCACTATAGTGAAGCATTTCCTACAGTACAAACCACTTTTAGGGCAGATGTTAATTCCTTAATAGACTTAAGGCTATTACAGCTCTTCAGAAAGCAAGAGTACAAGACAGAGAAGACAACCTGGAAGCCTAAATCCTGGGTCCTCTTTTCAGTTGCGTTTGTAGTTTGCCATGTGACCTTGAGCCAACCTGCCTCTGGTAGCTTCTTAGCAGGCCAGTCACCCCCATGGACCAGGGTGATTGGGAATGTGCAGGTTCTGCAAGGGGGAAGGACAGGGACAAAGGAAAATAATCTCATCACGGCATAGGATAGGATAGGATTCAGTGTGAGCTTTACCTTTCCGAGAGTGGATCAGCCTTGTTGACATCGGATGCCAAAACCTTCAATTCACTGATCCTGATCTTTTCCACTCGATTCTTATCCATGTACGAGTAATAGATATAAAACTTCCCATTGTACTTGTACTTGGGGTGGAAAGCCATGCCCAAAAAGCCTCTCTCATCCCCAATCCACGGCGTAGCCAGCACTATATTTTTAATATCCAGAAAGGGCTCCTCCAGCCGGCTGCCATCAGGGAGGTAGACCCAGATCACACCCACCTGCTCAGCTACGAACATGCGGTGGGTACGGTCACCGGCGTGCGCCATGAGCACCGGGTTCCTCAGGCCGTTGGCCACCTCGGTCAGACAGAGCTGGAGGCAGCCTCTGCGGTCCTCCACCACCGAGCCCAGGTTGCGGTTGAGGGCCGTGTTCTTCAGCACGTTGGGGAAGCAGTAGTCCTCATCGTGCAGGTGAAGGAGGTTACAAAAGCGCGTCTTGTTCGCCTCGCAGCATTCTTGGATGTGCTTATCGCTTGTCAGCAGGCTGATGGCAGAGCGGCAGTTGATGTGAAACTCGGAGCAGTAGTCAAAACAAAGCCCTGGGAGGTTTCTTAGGGGTGTCCGAGGGTTTTCGGCATCGTAGAGATGTGCAGCGTACGGAGAACATTCCTAGAAAGTAAAAGAAACTAAGTATGCAGCTGCGTACACATCTGGGAGAAGCCGAACACCTTCCTGGAAGGAAAGCAGTTAATGAATAATTAGTAAGCCAGAGAACATAATGAGTCATCTTTGAAGTAGAGTAGAAGAATGTCACTCAGAACATTGCTAGTGGGGATTTAGATGTCAGTAATTGCTTACTTTACCAATCAGCTGCACCTAGATAATTCCCAACAGAAGTATGTCTATGGAGGCTGTGGGTTCTCCATTACTAGAGGCTTTTAAGGAAGTGACAGGCAATTTCTTTTTGCAAACTCTCCCCAGCTTTGCTTTTACAAACCCAGGAGCTTCCCCTGCTAGGTTTTGAACTAAGTACTTTGTAACCTGTTCTTCATAGATGGAGAGAAGGATTTGTTAACCCCCTCCCAGCCGCAACCCCTGTGCGCTATGGAGAGCGACAGCCTTCATGCTTCAGACTTCTCCAGACCAGCAATCCCAGACCTGGATTGAAACCCACCTTTCACGCCAGCCAGCATCACTGCCTTTCCCAGGTACGCTTAAGACTTTGTTAAGCCACATAAGCCCATACCTAGGGCTAATCAAGTGTTAGGAAAGAAAAGAAAGAAAACGGGAACACCCGCACCTTCAACACTGTGCGCAGTTCTGGTCCCTCTTTCCAAAAGCAACACCACGGGGGAGCAGATCCACAAGGGCAGTCAGAGATACAGAACAGCTAATCAGGATGGAACCGAGCAGTTTGGCAGAGAGGTGATCAGAGTAGGGTAACGGCCTGACAGAGGTCTGTACGCATCACAGGTGACATCGAGAAGATGCACAGGGATCACTTGGT